TCATATTCCAGCTATGTTTTATAAATCTGTACAATCTATTTCTGCTGTTATACTTTCCAAACTTTTTTCTTGTTACATTCAATCTAGTTATGTTCCCAATTAATAGATCTTGTCAACAATTATTCCAATTTCAAAAACGGATAAAAACACTGTTTGATTCATCAAATTTTCCCCTTCAATGTTAAGATTTTTGAAATCTGCATATACTGTAGAGTGTACTCTCCTTTTTCTAGTAAACTTCTTCCTTTTTGACATTGTGGAATTCGTCACCATTTGACGACAACAAATTCATTACAAACTTTATCTTACATAACAATTTTGAAAATAAGTAGCCATTTTACTTAATATATATTGATATAAACAGTGTGTTTGATTCTGTATTATCTAATATCCTTCTTAATTTAATATACTACATGAATACGATATAGATCCTGTGATTCATTCTTGGTTCAACAATTAATCCTTATTAAGAACTTATAAAATTTGGTTTGGCCAGTAACATATATAATAAAAAAGGGAAAGTACAGCAATTGGTCAAAAAATTACCCCCTCCCAAAATTTTTACAGTTTTGTACTTTGGAAACCTCAAAACATCAAGAAATACAGGAAAAAAACCCCAAATTTTATTGCACTATTTTGTTCACCCAGTTTGCTTAACAACAAACTGTGCTTTTTGTCACGTTTCTGAAATTTTGCAGGGAGGTATGTTTATTAAAAGGATTGATGCTATTAAATTTTATTGGTGAAATGTTGTCAGGGTGGAGAGATAATGGTCATGTGTATCTCTGATAGGTTGGACTTAATGACTAAAATCGTCATTAACATTTATTATACTTTTATTTATAAAACCTATCCCTACCTTCAAAATTAAGCTTTTTGCCATTTTATATATGATAAGAAAAACTTTATAATTATCATATTTTTTAATAAAATAACAGATGGCATCACCAAAATTTTAATGTTGCTGGATTTTTCTTTTTCTCTTTTCTTTGTTGTAGTTCTTGCAATCATCCACTTTCCTGTTATGAAATTTAATCCCCTCTATCTCCAGTGAAGTATTGTTAGAAATCTTGTATGTGAAAACTTGTTAATAAATATTAGAAAAATGAAATTAGGTATTGATTTACAAATTCTTTTGTTTTAAAATAAAATTTTCTTTATAGTTTTGCTAGGCATTTTCAGTTTGTATATTGTTGGAAAAGTCTCTCTGTATTTTATTTTGATGTCTTTATTCTAAACCTTTGTTGCTAATGTTAGATCTGTTATATATATATATATTTTACAAACAATTGCGATGTACTGATAAAAATAATTTAAAATTTTTAGTAGTCTGCTCGATTTAAATCAAAAACACAATTATCTATGGCAGCGATTCCCAACCTGTGGTACACGTACCCCTAGGGGTACGCGATAGGTTGTTTAGGGGTACAGAAAAAAGTTAGTTATTATGGCAGAAAAAATAATATATTATGTATCACAAACTAATAGTATTAAAAAATTATTAGATAAAAAATGTTCCTTGCAACAATCACAACTTTATTATACATTTTTTCTTTTAGGTTTTTTTTCTTTAATTTAAAGTTACAATATGTAAAATTAACAATACGGTTACTCACTAAATTTCTTAAATGAGGGGTACAATCTAGAGATATGACATGTCAAGGGGTACAATCTAGAAATATGACATGTCACGGGGTACGCTAATGAAAAAAGGTTGGGAACCACTGATCTATGGCATACAGTAGTGGCACTGCATGTGATTCTAAAGTGCATCCTATAAGAATCGCTGCAAAGGCATCAAGCAGTGACGTTCACTCTTTCTAAACATCTTACATTGTGTGTGTTGACAAGATGAATTGGTGGTGGTGTTTTGTCAAGTCAACTCGTATTTAGTGCTGCCCTCTGCGAGATTTGAATGACTGAAGCCATTTTACCATTAATAATGATGAAGCAAAATTGATCACAAGAGAATGTACCTATGCATCATAGTCGTATTAAATTTGAATTAGATTTTATTTTTCTGCCATACTAATTCAAATTTAATACGACTACAATGCATAGATTTCATTTTTCTGCCATACTATCTTATCTAAAATCTGATATTTTGGTAGAAAACACTAGATTATCTGTTGCTCCAAATCATGCACATTCTTAAGTAGAATTTAGTTTCTTTGAAATAAGTTGTGAAGTAATAATGCACTGACAGAGTTGAAACTAATGCAAAGTGTTGAAATTTTACCAAATTAATTTGCCAAAAAGAAAAACACTTTGTTTGTCCATTTTCTTTGATGGACAGACATTGGCAGTTAGTTTATCAATAAAAAAACGTTGAATTTATTGTTCCACTTTACAAATTCTGGTTTATTTTTCTAATTTTGCATGTATAGAGTAAAACGTTAATTCACATCTATATCAGTTTCAGTTCAAACTTACGATTTATTCTGTGATGTGTTTGAAGTGGTAGCTTATGTGGGTAAACACTGAAAGTTTGTGAAGAAAGTAATCGATTAAATTGTTTATGTAGGGTTAGTTTAGATGAAATATATTGACTATTCTTCCAAGTAGTGCAATGCCATTTGTTATCATATACAGGGGCTATTTGAAAACCATGCAGTGAGAAATTTGTAATGACGTTTATATGTATGACATTGTAATTTAAGACACACATCCTGCATTTCCACTTTGTGGTAGACTGTGTTAATGCTTGCTTGCAGATGTTCTGGTTTTTGGAAGACAAGCCTGCTGATCATACGATATCTGAACCGTGCTCTCTTGGCATTTGCCACAGGAGACTGCAACATTGTAAGTAAAACTTCACTTAAACCCATTCCACTGCATGGTTTTCAGATATCCCATATCGTACATTCGTTATTTTTACAAAGTTTTGTTAGATTTTATTAGTATTGTAACAAAAACTTTGCTCATTAATTTTGTCTTGTTTTAGAAATTTAATTAAATTTAAGACACTTCTGTGTTGTGGCGTTATTGACAGCAATTTGTTAAATTTCAGATGTACTGTACTTTCAACAGTTTAAAACTGTCATCTTCAGGCGAAATCGAATACAGTAGACCACCCCTATAAAACGGGCTCATATAGTTCGGATTCCTATATGATGGCGAAAAAATTGCGACCGTATTCGTATAAACACTCTAAAAGAGACTCGTATAATTCAGTAAAATGTCATTGCTGACTCATGTCACAACAGGATTGGTCGAATCTAGACCAATAGCGGATATTGCACAAACCGTTGAGTTTAAATGAGCAGCAGACCTACTAAAAACCATTTATTATTTAATGTCCATAAAAATTATATTTATATTAATGATGTCTCCGAAGTTCAGTAAAGTTTTCACAGAAAAATAATTTATCAGGAAGCATGCGAGCGCCATTCAATGCATCGCTCCACGACGAAAACAAGCTTAAGCAATGGCATTGTCGAATGGTGCACACTCAGTAAGTAATCCTACAATTTTTTGTTTGTAGCATAGTTTATATGGATTATTCCCAAAAAATTATACGTATTTTGGAAATGTTGAGTCGAATTAGTCTAGAATCGATTAATTTTATGGAAGAAACCTTTCAAACAGCCGTAGTCCATAAACTGCATACGTGCTGGGCTGTGATTGGCTCATGTATTTAAGGACTCGTAGAAAATGGATTTCATAAAAACTGGAACGTAACTACCGTGTTATAGGGGGTCAACTGTACCTTTATTTTCGAGTTGACAGCTTTCAATAATGCCACAACACAGAAGTGTACTATATTTAATTTCTAAATGCTGGCGTAAAGTGAACTATATTTTCATTCATAGAAATTTAAACAAATGAAAATTATAGTCTAAATTTTAAAATATTGTTGCCAATTCGTTCATTCTGAGGTCATCAGTAAAAGATTTAATTAGAATTTCTCAGATGCCGACTGAATAATTTTGTAATGCAAAGGATTTAATATTCTGGTTAATGTATTCCGAAGTAACACTTTTACGTATTTAAACTCTAATTTTGTCGACTTTTGTCAGCTAATAACAGTTAAAAACATTGGATCACAGGATTGTAGGTTATAATTTAAACCAAACTGATAAAAATATTTTATTCCTCAGGTATCACATCTGTAAAATGATATTTGGGCTATTCTCTGAATAGTCTATAGACATCAGTTTGCATATTAAATTACAAACATCACATTCATGAAAAACAAAATAAAATGGCTTCCCTTGTAAGAAGCTATTCATTTGGAAAACTGTACTAGCTACAAAAATCATATCATTAAATGATGATATTAACAATGTAGACAGTTTAGTAATATTAAATGCAATTTATATATTCTGAATATCTGAAATTGTATTCTTAGATACTTTGGTAACATGTCAACTAGAATTATAAAGACGAATGTGTGGTGACTTATCCTTGGAATTCTAGCAACAAATGCTACTTTTCACCATTATTGCAGCTGGAATTAACACATATAAATGTCAAATGGATATGTATTTCTGTTCGACATCTGTGGGATACATTCATTTTATATGAGGTGTGTCTACTGGAATTTTTAAAAGAAAGTTTTTGGCAGAAACTATTCAATTTGGTGTCATCTTCACTGCATTTCTCTGTGATTTTTGAAGTTCCCTCATGTATGCTCTCTTGGATTTCCAAAACAATCTCCTTTTCCCCAAATTAAAATTCGCTCTAAAAGGGAGACAATTTTGGTTGATGTTGGAAATCCAAAATGCCATATGGAGGGAACTAGATGGCACTCTAAAAGACAATGTTTGAAAAGCCAACACTCACTGCTATGTTCAGTAATCATCCTGAAAAGGAAATAAGCCAGTCTTTGCATGTGTGTAATAAAAAAAACATCAATTTGAGAGTTTAAGTCTGTTTGGGCAACTGTGGTAAAATGATAATTGCCAAAACAGATTCTGTGATGAATTACATATTTGAAATTCATTTAAAATCAACATGGTGTAAAGTTTTTCAAATAATTTTTCATTTTTGTATTATAGAATCATGGACGATGATTGCCATTCTCCCAATCAGGCCACACTGGCGTTCAGTAATCCCGGAACTCCTCGAAACGACCGGCTGAATGACGACATCAGCGGAATGGTTTCCTCTTCCACTTTTGCAGCCGTGGGCCAGACCACCCAGGCAGCAGCAGCAGCCTATGGTACCATAAGACAGCAGCCACAGTCCAAGTACGCGCAGCTCCTGGGAGTCATCGAGGAACTGGGCAAGGACATTCGCCCGACCTATGCAGGAAGCAAGAGTTCTGCAGAGAGGCTGAAGCGGGGCATTGTGCATGCCAGGATTCTGGTCAGGGAGTGTCTGATGGAGACGGAAAGAAATGCCAGAACCTAATTTAATACTTGACACAGAAGAGAATCACGAATAAAATTCTTTTTTTAGACTCTATCCGAGTACTTTAATGCTTCCACACGTCCGCGAATGGAGAAAAATCTCTCAATCCACAAAAACCTTTTTATAACAGTGAATATTATAATGGACACAACACTGTTATAAAAAGGTTTTTGTGGATTGTTATTACTCGTATTGTGTTAGAAAAATCTCTCCCCAGATTTAACGAGAAACGAAGACCAGACAATTCGGTTTGACGTTTTTATTTTCTTAACTGCAAAAATTCAATATGGTATTTTAGCACTATTAATTATTGGTTTAGTAAGAAGATACAAGGCCAATAACAGTTAAATGCAAACAGATTTTTCTTGTAATTTACGTACAACTAACAAATCATTAGTGTTATCGTACTATGAAATGTGCATATTATTTAATTCGTGATATTTCTAATCTAGTAAACAAGCAAAATGTGCAAACAAATATTCTAAATGATCGGTACATATGTATATTTTTATATATATATAGTTCAATCCATCGAAATACTGTAGAAAATTATTGGCACAGTTTTGGTTATACTGAAAATCAAGCAATCTTTTACAATTGCAAGAGGAAGCCAAACTTCTGAAAGACCCAAAAAATGTAATCTCGTCTGTAAGCATTTCCCTTTTTTCTTTTAGCAAAATATACTTTGGCTAGCAAAACTGTACAGACAAACTCTCTTGGCAATAAATAAGATGTTGCTAGTGCTAAAAAATTTCCGCTCTGCAACTAAACACAAAAGAAAAGAGGTTATGAATTCGAATATGACGAAGCATTTCACAAAAATACAGAAGCCGTTTTTCATGTTTGTTTCTATGAAAGACGTACATTTGAATGGTTTTTGACATTCGATATGACTACTCGGTGCCCGCTTCTCATGTTTTTACTACTGGTCCGGTGTTTAGATTCGTTTCGGCAGCGGCAACGTAACTTGGAACACAAATAAAAGTTAAGTATATATACAAACAGCATATAAAGTTTAAAGAAATTTTGGGGTAATGTATGTGTAATCTAAAATGCTTTGGATTGCCACGAGGAAGAAATGGTTTCACTCGACATGAGATGCAAAGCATTTCAGAGGGCGAGGCGGTCAAGCGAAAATTCTACTTGGTGATGACGTGTTATTTATACGTATTGGTAGCACCATTGGAACCGAATATTTAAAAATTAATAATATAATCGATAAAAACAGTCGTTACATCATAACATTTAAATAAACTATAAAATAATATACAAAAAATTGGGTTAGGATGGGGGGAAAATATTTAAAAAATCTACCATCTTAACACAATGATTACAATAAAAAGCATTGTTTACATATTTTTACAGGCTATACAAACTGCAACAAGCTTGCAGCAATTAACATTGCACGTCAAGCAATTATGCCATATATAATTTATGTTTTTTTCTTGCATAATTAAAATCACATCGCATAGCTTCTAGCTTTTTCTATCGAGCTTTAACTAGTTCAGCGAATTCTATCCGGACTCTGGAATTGTACGTTTGAATTTGTAAGAGATTGAAGGCCCGGCGGATAATTAGAATGTACCTTTCGTTCGAACGAGATCGCTTACGTTTAAGTGTAATTTTTGGACAAGACAAATAATATAGAAGAATAAAAGTTTTTAAAGCGTCATAACCAAATAAATGCTAATAAAAATATATTGCCAACGAATATTCTCCTATAGTTAATTGCTTTTCTTTGTTTCCCATTTATTCCATTTTTTTTGAAGAAGGCAATCGTTAAAGATATGTTTGATGGAAGTTTAAATTTAAGGGAATATTGGAACAAATTTTGGAGGAATTAAAATAGGTTTTTCCAGTTTTAAATAAATGCATATTGCATCGTATATCACACCAGGTTCTTGCTGTCATCTCCTACCATCGTCGGAGAAGACTGTTATCCTCTGTTCAATTTTTATCCGAGACGCTGTCCGCAGATTTTTGGCCTTGGTGCAGTTTTCTGCATGGACCGTCTCCATGGTATCTAGACCGCCGTCTTGTCACCGGTGAAAAATGTTTTCATCGTACAATAGACAGAAAGGTGGCCAATATTGAAAGATAAATTGCACAAATTGTGGCAGAGACAAAACTGTAGTAATTTGTTATATCTAAGCCATTAACTCATTGCAACGTTCGTAAAATTAAAAGTTTTGTCAAACTGTCGTGCTGTACGAACTGTGACTGTACGTTACCCGTTGACCATCCGGTTCCAGGGTGATGTCTTCTGAGGACGCCAGGTTCACTATAATGCTGCCGCTCATCTGCTGGCTCTGACTTTGGCTGCGACTCAGGCTGGTGTGACTAAAACAGTCCTCAGAACCAGCCGTCCCAGTCTCCGGACAGTCATCTGATGTCAGGCTGTGTCCGTCCGGAGGAGTTCCTGCCGCGTTGTAACCGATGACCGCCGATCCCCTGTAATTATCACCAACAGCCTGCAGAAAGATGTGGAAAGTGAGTCACTTTGAACAATTTGATGATTAAAAAAGTGACAATGATATTTACCTTTAAAATTTCGAAACAAATATCGCTTTCTAAAGGAATGGGTTCTTCGTTTTCTCTATTAAAAATTATGACTGCAATGTGGCTAGGATGAGGGATTGGAAGCGGTATAATAAGCTTTTCAGCTTTAAATTCATGTCTTTTTCTCTTCCAGGGATACCAAGATCTAGGAAAATAACACATTAAAACCAATTACAATTATATTCAAATTAATCTGCAGAGAGGAGTGAGCAAATGCAGTCTTGGCCCATTGGATGCCAGAAAATGTCACGTGTCACCACTTTAAAACTCAAATGCCAATTTATTTTATATGCATACATACACGAAATTAAATATTTACTTAATTTTAGACTAATAATATATTCAAAATTTCTTACTTTTGTTTATCTTTTTTATGGGAGGCAGAATTATAGCTACAGAGAGGACTGAAGGTCGATAGATCCAGATACGGTGAATGAACGTGGATATTTCCTATCAAAATATTAACAATGTATACAAGTCTTCATTCCTTCACCATAAAAATTAAACCTTACCTTTAGGTGTATGGACCGCACGGGTAACATCAATGTCCGTGTGAAGGGATGCGTTCTGCAACATCTCAGTATATCTGTGTAGATTATCCACTTGAGCCTAAATAAAATTAATATATATTTTGTAACATATTCTAGTTTCAAAAGAAGTAATTTTAAAATAATTTCAACGTAACATCTAATACTCACACCCAGTTCATACCAAACATTATTCTCTTCCAAAGGCGTCAAGAATTCGGCAGAAAATAGTTCAGATAACATCTGCGCGGCGAGACCTACATTTTATAAATATCTCAAGTTATAATTTTGCAAGATTTGTAGCTCATTTCACTTTGTAATTTACTCACTGGGCCAGTCTTGGTAAGACAATCCTTTGGATTCCCAAAACTGAGTTTCTGAAATTTGCAATCGACGTAAAACATGAGTAGGATAAAATTTTTCAAGCATGATAGCTGCCTGACGAACTGTTAACTGAAATAAAATTGATAACAGTTAATATATAATAATAATTATTAACATGTTAAAATAATTAAGGTATTTTAACATGTTAATTAGAATAGATAAACAGGCTTAAATTAGATTCTCACATGCAAATCTTGGCTGCATAATTTAATTTTTGATCGTGTCGAAACATTCAGTCCCGTTTGCAATTCTTTCTTTCTCCTAAATAAATATTGGTTTATAATTTAAAATAATAATATTAAACATTTACTTGAATAGTTTGAAAATAATTAAAATAAATTTAACAAAAACTAATTGTAAAGAATAAAAATGTACCGTACTTCTATATCAGTGGTTCTCAACCTTTTTTTTTTACCCATGGACCCCTTTTCCTCTTAATTTTTTTTTGTGGACCCCCATAGACATTGCACAGAAAAAATCCTTATATTTTGATGTTATAAGATTCTCCTAACAAATCCTGGCTTTATAATCTCTCTTTGACCTTTGTCAATGAGATGTATCTATTCAATATTTTAAATAATTTATATTTTAACCTTTTTTTACAAGAAATGAGTAATAAAGAAATTGACAATATATATACTGTAGAAATTTAATTCTCGGTAAAACAATTGTTTCTGAAGTAGAATTATCCTATAGATCACTAAAATATCACTGTGAAACCCCAATTCAGTATTTTTTTTCTGTGGACCCCAGTAATGTTAAATGAACCCTGGTTGAGAACCACTGTTCTAAATGAAAAGAATAATCTTAAGTCAATTCTCTTCCACAAAGAGATTTCCTATAAAACAGTATTCTAAAGAGCAAATATTTAATTATTTGGCTATTAATGAATGAAATTTGATAAGTTTAGAATAGAGAACAAAATCTACAACTATTAAAATTACTACTGCTTTGCACAACGTATAACATTAATTCGGTGTAACAAGAGGGCAAACATTGGAAGCCAGAAAATGTCACTTCTGTGTCTTACGTAAGGACAAAGTTTCAAATGGCTTCTCCCACTTTTTTGTTGCTAGTTGAATGCCAACTTCCTAGCACCTTCAAAGCTGGGAAGAAGTGTAAACTACTGGGTAAACCCCTCTTACAGAAGTCTGTGTAAGAGGGGTTTCTTTAATCAGGTGAAGCAATAAGACAAAAGCATCAATATGACAGGAACTACATCAAAAATGAAAGTGAGAATGTCTTTCTATTCATAATATACTTAGTAACAGGAATTTTATTCTGTTCCAACAGACTCCGGCATTACTTGTATATAAAATTAAAGACAAAACCAGGAGCAAAAACATTTTAGATACATGTTTGTTGTCAGAAGTTTGAAAAAGCTTTCTCTTTCTGACTCAATGATAAGCATACACTCTAAAAACAAGCAATTTTTCTAAACAGTTTGCTCCAGGAAAATTAATTAAGGTTGAATTAGATTTGAGGAGGATGTTAAAAAAATAAGTACTGTATTTACTCGGATATAAGACGAAGTTTTTATTCATTTTTCACTATTTGAAAAACATAGGTTGTCCTATACGCACAAATAACGGATTCTTTGCGTTTTTGCAATAATTTCTGTAAACAAATTAAGACACACATCCCTTTGTTTATTTGTTTAATCCTACATCCATCAATTAAAAACCGCATTGCATCTCATTTGTTCGCAGAAAAGAGTTTCTTGTTATTTATAAAAACATTAATGAAATACAGGTCACTTAGCAATGATTATAAATGTAATTATTTTATATTAGTTAAATTGTTATTTTTAATGAATTAGCACATTCTGAATCATTAAAAATAGACTTTTCCCAATCATGTGCACTATAATGTTTTGGTTTTGTTTTCCATTCATCACATATTAAGGCAAACATAGTTGTTTGCCTTAATACATGCATTTGATAATATTTTGTGATTAAAAAAAATAAAATTAGAATTGTATTAATAAATTTAATTTTCTTTATTTTGATCTCTAAAGTCACACCTCATCCTATATGAAAGATCGTCTTATATCCGAGTATATATGGTAATTTTATTAAACATGTTTAATGTTTTAAACTTAATAAAATCATACAGGGTGCATAGTAAAGTCCTTAAACACTGATGTGTAAGTGACACAAGAAAATGAGAAATACTCATACTATAAACACGAGAAATGAATGAGAACACATGAGCATACAAGAAATGCACAATTTATTGTCTGCGCTCAACACACACTTTAGCATTTTACACTTTGCATATGTGAATAGTGTGAATAGAAAGTGTTCTTTCATACTAAATTGATCACGCTCTAAGACTTTGTAATTGACTTTTTTTGATATTATGCATCAATTTTGAGATAGAATCTCTTAACTTCCAAATTTTACTGCTAAGTTTGCTGTGAGGTGGTCTTGTCTTGTAGCACATAGTCACTTTATTATAACTATACATCACATTTGCAACTGTAGCTATCTGTGTTTGTCAGTTATATAAATGTATAAGGAGCTTACAATGTACAGTACCTACATATACATTAAATATGTATAACCAAATGTTGTTTTTATTTCATAACTGCTTCAAATTTTTATAAAGTTGTTATAAATTTATCATCTCTTCTTTAGTTTATTGTTAAATATCATACATAAAGAATCAAATTATAATTACCTGTCAACTTGATCTTTAAGAGCAGCTAATAAATCTTCTTGTTCTTTCTCTAACTGTCTATACACTCCTTCTTTACATAATGTGCCAGAAAATGGTTGGAAACACTGCTGCATAAATTCACTGCAGAGGAATGAAGAGGAAATAAAAATTTTAATTAAATCTCATAAATAATTGCTTTTTAAAAGTCAATACTACTATTACTATCAATAATAATAATATACATATATTTACTATTAACAAGTAAGACAGTATATATATGCATATACAGGATTAGTCAAAAGTCTCTTGCATCCTTTCATTCCAAAAGTACTGAAGTTATATCAATTTTGTTTAGTTACATAGTAAGTTGTGTGTGAAGAATTGGATGGAACCTTTTTGGTTGATTTTGAAGATGGACTTAAAGTATAATATTTATTAAAATTAGCCTTAAATACAACTCAGTAATCCAGTAGTTTGTTTGGCTTTAATTAAACAATCTGGTTGTGGACTGAATGTTTACAAATCATGAAACAAAGCAAACTTCCAGGCAGAGGAAAGTGCATCTGTACCTGTAGTATTTAGATATTTTCCTACATCTTTTTGTTTAAATATTTCCATACATCCTTCAGTACAGTGAATGTAACAGAGAAGTGATCTTTTTATAACTGTAGCTTCATCCCACATAATTTCAGTTTTGTTTTGCAACGCTTGCTAAGACTGTAGTATCCAGTTTATTATGCACACTATAACTTATTTATATTCATAAATGTATTTACACTGGACGACAAAAAAAATAACGCACCATGAAGGACTTGTTGGATTTGAATAAAAATTGATATGTTGCATCATCTTAGCTAGATATGTAAATGATTAGCTTTTGAGAGTAGGTTCTTATGTTATATCGCCACCAGAGGGGAAAAAATGTTTCCGCTGCCTGGTATAAAGGTGCACGCTGTGACGACTTGTGCATATGTTCTGCACTTTTATTCATGGTTTTGACTTCATTGAGTGACAGACATGCCTTTACGACGCATTCGACAGCCTTACACTCAGTTAAGTGAGTTTGAGAGAGGTCGCATCGTTGGATTGAGAGAAGGAGGATGGTCATACCGCCGAATTGGCTGCCATCTGAACCGTTCTGATAGAATTGTTAGGATGTGTTATGAGCAGTGGGTAAGTAGGGGTACACACGAACAGCAAACGGGTTCCGGACGCTATCGACAGACTACCAGAAGGGAGGATCATCTCATTGTACGTCAAGCATGGACAGCGCCTACAGCTTCATCGTCTACCATTCATGCAGCGGTGGTACCTGCATTACGGAACCGTGTATCCAGCTGCACCATCTCCAGGCACTTAGTAGAAGGTGGATTGATCTCCCGACGCCCAGTATGTGTTCTACCGTTAACAGCCACCCACCGACGCCTCCGTCTGCAGTGGTGTCATGAACGACAATCGTGGACCACTACCGACTGGCAGCGTAGTGTGTTCAGCAATGAATCCCGCTTTTGTTTGGGGGCTCACGATGGCCGTGTGAGAGTATGGCGGCCCACTGGTCAAGGTGTCAACCCGGCCTATACTGTGGAGCGGCACACGGGCCCAACCCCCAGTGTTATGGTGTGGGAAGCCATAACATACGACAGTAGAACACCTCTAGATGTCATGCATACTACCTCACAGCCCAACGATATGTGCAATACATCCTCCAGCCACATGTGTTGCCCCTCATGGCAGGGCTTCCGACAAACATATTCCAGCAGGATAATGCCCGGCAACACACTGCAGCGGTCTCCCAAGCATGCCTACGTAACGTTGCCACACTTCCTTGGCCTGCACAGTCTCCAGATTTATCATTAATCGAACATGTGTGGGACCACTTGGGTCGCCAGCTGCGACAGCCACAGGATCTGACGCAACTTGAGTCCCAATTGCATCATGCATGGACAGATATGTCTCAGAACATTATTCGCGACCTTTATGCCTCCATGCCGAGGCGTATCACAGCTTGTATCCGCGCTAGAGGCGGCCCAACAGGATATTAGTACCTGCACTGTATTGCATATTACTGCACAATAAAGTATGTTTTTGTTTTATGGTTGCAATCATATATCTGTCTAGCAATGACGATGTCATATACCAATTTTTATTCAAATCCAACAAGTCCTTCATGGTGCGTTATTTTTTTTGTTGTCCAGTATATTTAAATTCCTACTAGTACATCCTGTACCAATCCCATTATCTCCACTTTAATGGGTACCTATAGTACCAAGGTTGGGCTGTCAACTGTAGTGGGGTGAAAGAATGAAGTGTCAGAGGGGACCCAAAAGCCTAAAGTCCCAGTTATGGGTTAATATGGCCCATGTACATTAGATCCTATTAAATAAGACTGTTTTTATATTACAACTCTGTCATGAAACCAGACATTAATCTTAAACATGAAATCTTGAATTTACAAAAAAAAAAAAAAAATTAAATTAAAAAAAGATGTTTATTTCTTCTTGTAAATTTCAATTATTTTATGAGAAAAAATTTGATCTGATAATTTTACAAAGAATGAGAACAGTCAATAATAAACTCACTGCTATAGGTCATTGTTATTGTCAGAATTTTAAACATAGGAAGCTGCTGCAAAAAATGTTTAATTTGTGCCTAGTGTATATATTTTTTATTAATAGAAATTATGTAATATATAGAAACATACATTAATACAGTTCTTTATCTATTTCATCATCCAATTTTTCATAATCAAAATCCCTCCCTACAGAATAAGGTTATCATCAAAAAACAGATCTTATAATGTGCACAAAACCAAAGGCATTTTACATAGTATATATTGAATGGGAGTCAAGATTAATCTTAGTTTATTACCATTGATTTATAAATGGTAATACGAAGCAAAGAGTTAGTGGTATTCTTTTTGGCATATTTCAAAGTGGTTCCACACATTCAATATTTGCTGATTACTGAATGATTGAGTTTCTCCAAAGTATTTGTCACATGGCGAGCACATACATGATTATTATGCCAAGCATCAGCTTATTGTGAGAATTATCAAATGCTTATCCAAGATTTATTCCTTTGGTCTGACACAATATTCTCATAAGGAATGGAAAATGGCAAATACTGAATATTTATTGAGCAAAGTTGTGAAGAAATCATGCACATTACTCAGTATTGGCCAAATGTTTGCTCGGCAATTGGCAAGTACCAAATATGTGATGCTGCCTTTATATTTTAATTTTATGAAATTATTACTTAACAATAAATAACATTCATATATACCTATAAACATATTGTGGTTGAACTATAATTCTTTCCACTTCTTCACGAAAAGCGTTTAATTCTTCCGTTTCCAATTTGGCTTCAAAAGCTGCTAAAGCTTGTTCTGGTCTGATCTGCATTAAAAAATTGTAATCTTTTAAAGCAAAATTAAGTTCAACATCTTATTTTATTAAGCAAATCTTATTAAAATTTAGTACACATTAAATTATATATAAAATATTTATTACAGAATTGTTGGAAGTAGATTTCTTCCAATAAGAAACATGTACCATAGAACTGCCAGAATAAGTAGATTAGATCTGTGGCAGCTATGACACCATTAAACAAGTAGGTAAGTATAAATAAACAAGTGTGAAGGGATAAAAACAAGGAGAGGATTTGCTAGTGCTGCTAAAAGTATAAAATGTGGCTTTACTTTGCTTGGAATATAGATGCAAGTATTGTTTGCTAATTGTTATTTTGAATTGTCAAATTATATTAGCCGTTGAATTGCAATGCATTGCTAATAGATGTATTGAATTTATCACTAGCCTCGAGTCTTTGATAACCCTTGGTTGTTTATATTTATTGTTATAATACCATTTAAATAATTCATTGTTTTTTATTATTACTCACATGTACATAGCATTGTTTTGTAATCATTGTTACTTTTGGTTTGCCCTGAAATGTCAGAACTGCCCCTGTTGTGGACTCTGCTGTAAGGTTTGTCAAAGAGTTTTGCTTATACATAAAGATCAAAGTTTACAAGATACATAAACAACCACGTCCAGTTAAACTACATCTAAATAACAACCAAGCTGCTAGACTTTTACTGCAAATTTTTAAAATCATTTCAAATTAATTCATAAATAATTTAACTACACAATATTGCCAGATTCGCCATTTCATAACTTGGCTAATGAAATATAGCCATGAAGTAATTTGGACTAAAGGTAGGCAATTAAGTTGCCATTTTGTATTAAGTTTCAACAATCCAGCACTATCATTTAATTTATAATTTCAAGGATAATTTACCATATAAATATGTAAATAATTTAATACTAGGTTCCTTTGCTGTCTTATACATAGTGCTCACATGATCAGGAATATAGCCACAAGGTGACATTCCCCCATACCAATGCTCTTCTGTTGGCCCCCGCTAATTGGGTTTAAAACATAAACAGCATAAAAAATATCACAAACAGATGACCACTAGATTAACCAGAAAAACATCAGACTCAAATACATGAACAGCCACAACATAAAGAATAAAATTCAACATCTGTTCTTATGCAGCCTTTTATATTTTTTATTGAGTATTGTCATGTATACCACTGGTTTGCATATGACATGCAAGGAGCTGCCATATCAGTTGCATAATGATGTGTTGCAACTGATCTTGAACTATTGTGTTTTTACAGTAACCTACCCATCTATGTAAGTTCATGAAATTCATCAGTCTTGAAGATGACTAACATTCAAAAATTTCTGGCTACATTCCGGATCATGCATGCAAAATAATCAGCGTTTAGTACTGCCACGAGCAGAAATAACCACTTGTATACAATCTGGAATGGACACAAAAAGATAATAAATGTGTTGTCATGCCATGCAATCTGTACAGAGGTCCAAAGTTCATCCGTGTAGGCTCTGGCAAGCCAGTTGTTGCACCATTTCCTGGATGTGCTCATTGGAAAACAAATCTGGTCAATGTGTGGGGCAAAAGAAGTGGCACATGGTTGTCATCTAAGAATTGCATTATATTTTATGGAGGATGGGTATCTCTGTAAAAGTTTGATACCATGTTTCATTGAAATATAGTACCAAAACTGTTACAGAGAGGATATCACCCCAGCCTTCGGCATTAGATAAATATCAATGTGGGTAGTGTAAGTAGATAAGGCAGGAACAGGTGTGAAATCTAATGGCACTCCACATCTTAGCATCTGGAGCAGGACTTGTATGGCACTACAAAATATATGCTTCCAAGAGTCTTTTGCAGTAGTGCTTCCATACACTGATGTGGCCATCAGAGTACTAGGATTCATCCAGAAACACAATGTAATGCCAGTCATCCTACCATTACATTATATTTCTGGCACTAATGTGGCATTTGCTGCATTGTGTGACTGGCATTAATGTGACATTCAAGACAGCATTGAAAATGCAAACACCAATGAACAAAGATCAATGGTAACTAAAGCATAGGCAACTAGTGAGAAGATTCTGAGTGTGCAAACTTGTCAATATGTGTATATGGTACACACTGATATGACAGACCTCCCACTGTTGGCCTAGGATCCACAAGGTGGCTATTTGGTCCACATAAGAGATGTTTGTCATCCTATTTCTGCACTTAGGAACTTCAGATCCCTCTGATTGATAGGTTGTACCTTCCCCTATCCACTGATGCTGTATTATCATTGGGAGAGAGGCAAACACAGAGTTGTCACTATAGTTGCCTCTCTTCCAACACAAGTGCCAATGTCCTGGAATGATAATTCATATTTTCACAATTTTACCCTTTCTCAAAATCCAAAAGATGAATGTAAGACTTGTCCTCTTTCCCAAGGCATATTCAGTCTCTAAGAGTATCTTACAGTAATCTAATTAGTGGAACTGCCAGCAGTCATTTAATATCTGCCCTTTGTAGTGCCATTTATAGCTATTGTTGGAAAGTCCAGGGGGTATGTCTAACTTGTGCACATTATTTATATCTGTGCTGCATTTACGATTGTTTTCACACTCTATCACGACTCTATTTTCAGTCTAATATGACATTGTTTTCCCAATTTTGCAATTTTAATGGCCAGCAATACATATGTGTATATATATATATCTTAAATTTCTCATTTCTCTTCATATTAGAGATTTAATTTGCCTAATTTTTGTGGGGCTGAAAAAACCTAATAAAAATTCTGTAATTGTTTGAAAGCTCTAAATTTAACATTAATTAACAGTAATGAAACATGGTTGAAAAATCTGATATGTAAATATAAATAAAATATGTAGTTAATTTGTTCCAAGCTAAATTTTACACTATTGTTTCAATACACTAACCTTAAAATAATGTCCATCGGAAAGTCCAGGTCCTGAAATTCTGCGAACGAGCCAACTATCACAAGCTGGTATTCTTCCTCGATGTTTGATGAGCAAATGGAACATGAGGCCGTCCCACGTAACACGTAAACTACATCTTAACATGGCCACTAACGTAATCGTAATTTTGTTAATTTAGCATGTACTACAAATAAAAAAGAATCTATATATAAAGTTACTTACTGATTAATACAAAAAACGATCCTAGAGGACATATTATAAAAGCAATAAAAAGAGCTAAAATTGGCTGCAATATCCCTTGAATTAATATATGCCAAAATAATGCTTCTAATACAATACAATTCTTATTTCTTGCAGGAGCTGATAAAAGAAAAAATATTTTGAGTAAAATTTTTATTAACGATCTATTTATAAATATTCTAAAATTAATATTAAACACAATAAATTTGTTTTTTAACTATGATATCAATCTATAGAAAAACAAGACATGTGGCACTAAAGAAAATACATTAAATCTTTAAAATATTTAATTTGTGAATATGTCAGAACATTGGTCATAATTTCTGTTGTTAAAACACTTTTAATTTTATTTATCAACTTTAAACTGACAGAGAGTTAAATTTACTTTAACCAAAGTGAATTTTAATGAAATTAATATGTGGGTACTTAAAAGTATAAGTAAGAAAAAGTTAACTGGAAAAATAAACAAATAAAACAGTGCATCTTGTAACTCAAACAGTATATCTAATAAATCATAAGGTTTTCAAACCTAATACCTTAGAAGTACATCACTTCAAATAAAATGAACATATGCATATTGAATTCAACAGAAATAATTTACAATTAAATGGTGTTCTAAAAAGAGCACTCTCACAGAAAAAATTAAAATAATATAAACAAATTATTAACAAATAATTATTATAGGACCAAGTTCAGGTTATATTTTATACAAGGACTTCCATGCTGTAGATAAGGTGTCAGATAGTACTAGGATTCATCCAGAAACACAATGTAATGCCAGTCATCCTACCATTACATTATATTTATGGCACTAATGTGGCATTTGCTGCATTGTGTGACTGGCATTAATGTGACATTCAAGACAACATTGAAAATGCAAACACCAATGAACAAAGATCTATTCTGTATCAATCCTATGATTGATACAGGATAGATTTTTGTTGGCTGTAAAAATTTCTAACATTTCTAAGAACCTAATTGTATTAGGGTTCTTAGCAGATCTAACAATTCCAACCTCATCCCATTTTACTCGTATATCTCATTTGGCAGCATAAGCCACTAAGGCTGAGGAGATGAGATGCTTTTCCCACCATGTATTTATGTTCCTTAATCCTTTTTGCCAAAGTGCATTATGATTTATTAAATATACTGCTGGAGTTACTAGGTGCACTGTTTCTTTTAAAAATATAAGATCAAATAAAATAACTGGTTAAAAAATAACTGGTTAATCATAGATTTTATTGCATTGTAGCAAATATTTTCATTTTGCTTCAATAAATTTGATTTTGCCTTCAATATTTGTGAATACACAAGATGTGTCTGCTAAGTTCAGGGATTAAATTCATAAAAATAAGTTTTTGGCAGAAATGATTCAATCTAGTATCAGTCTTCAAAGTACACTCTTCCTTGATCTTTACAAAGTTAATAATTAACACATTTCAAAAAGATTTTTAGTGTGGACATTTCATTTAGTTTCCTCCATCAGGCCTTTTGGATTTCCAAAATTGATTGTTATTGTCTCCCTTTCAAAGAAAATTTTAATTTGGGATGCAGGAAGTAATTAATTGGGACTCCTATTCCTCAAGATAAAATTTGCTCTGAAAGGGAGACAATAACAATCAATTTTGAAAATCCAAAAGGCTGGACAGACGGCATTCCTTTCATAGAGCATAGACAAATTACTAGAACATGCAAAAATTTGTGTAGATAATGAAGGAGTGTATTTTGAATCCATACTAAACTGAATTATTTCTGCCATGAATGTTAATGAATTCAGACAGTAATAAATTTTATATTTGATAACAGTTTTTTAGCATTAGTTTATTTTACAAGAATCATGGGATCATGGCAGAAGAAAGGTTATTATTTCAATTATCAGAATGAAATAATAAATTGTTCATGCCACAACTCTATGATCCCTGGAAAATAAGCTAAAACTTTATGGGTAAATAGATTAAGGATCTTTTAATGAAGTAAATGATTTGAAAAATAAACTGACAATGCATTTTCTTAATGGAATATTAAGATTCTTTGAATGTAACAAATGTGAATACTTACAAGGACTATCAAAATCATAGGCAAACATCATACATAAATGAAAAAGCAACGTCGATAAAGGCATCCTAGAAAAATATTATAATTAATATATATATATATATATAATAAATTATTATTAATAATTTAAACATAAAAACAAAACATTTACCAAAAAGGTGCAAGAACAGCGATAACTAAAGAAAGTCCAGATGAAAACAAACAGACCGATGGAAACGCCAACAACAACAACAACGTTCCGAGAGCTCCCTTCACCACATAATTCCATGTGCGATTTAAATGACGACTAAATCCTTTACCTATAAATCCTGAAACATTAGTTTTAAGTTTGTTTTATATTTATACCTTAAGAAGATTACCGTAAGCAGAATAACACAAAGAATTATTTTGAAATTTGATATTACATCTATATTAGTTTGAAATGATTCTACCTGTATCTGGCCTAGATTCAAATTCGGTTCTCGATTTTGATATATGCCTCCACAGTGCGATGAGCCTCGAACATAGTGTATGTGTTAGAGATGATTTTCTGGGATAAAGTGTGCCCTAGTGGTTACGAGAACAAAATTCCATTAAAGATAAAAATAAAATCCGCACGTTAAAGGAACTATGATATATTTATTAAGATATTCACATCTAGTTGGTTAAGCTCCAAATCAGGCATAAAAGGTCGAATGGAAAACAGAGCGCGTAAACTAAAGGGACTGCACCAAGGTATAACAACCTAGTAATAATAATACGTGACATATTTATTACTAAAAGAACAACCAATATGAAATGTACATTAAAATAAAATATTTACTCCAAATAAAAACATGGCATTCCATGCCCATGCCCATGTGCGATAACAATAGTTCACCCATCTCCAGAAGGGCCATCTTGTAGTAGTTGTGCGTGTTTTCTGCTTTTCAACTAAATATACTGGCTAAAATGCAAAAATATAAATGCATCTATTAAACATTTAAAAATTATGTCCTTATAAGTACATACGAAGTGTCCAGAAAGTCGCATCACTCCACTTTTTATTGTCTCATTCCCATTCTTCAACTCTTCTGTTATCTGGTGTTGTCAGTGCTACCAGGTAACAGGAGAGTTAAATAATGCATTGACAGGAATATTTTCTCTTCTCGTGCCCAATTATCTCTGCAAAGTCTTTGTTATTCCAACGAAACTCATTCTTGTTCTAGATAAGTAAAGCATCATATATGTTCTGATACTAAACCAAACTATCACTATAATTAATTGGGCTATTATATTGCTATTAATAATAACTAGATATTAAGTAATTTGGTAATAGAGAGCTATTAAGTGCCATCTCTTATGTAAATTAATAATTTTTTAAATAATTTAGAATGGTTTGGAAAGAAAAGAACTAGCACAGAGTGAGATTTAATCCTGCAACCTCACTTACCGTGAAGTAATTCTTCGCTTCCAGACATATTGAAACTTAGATATAACCATCCACAGTTACTCGCGGCACTGGCTGGGGACGACTCTTACACCCATGACCTATGTACTCCTCTACTATGGCACTCAGCCAACTATTGCCATAATTAATTGTGCGCTATTAACAACATAACAGCTTGATTAATTATGGCAAAAGTGTGGTTTAGTATCAATACATTGGGCTTTGGAATGTTTATATATATATATGTTCTGATATATAATATCTCAGTATATCCTCTACAAGAATTAAAAACAGAAGGAGACGTGACTTTCTGGGTGCCTCATACAAATTAATATTCAACATTATGTTCATAAATGTTCCTAAAAACATTCTAGAATGTAATAAACTGATGCATTACATTTTATGTTTATTAAATTAATAACAAAAATGTTTTATTTTTATATTTTTAAATATTAATATTTCAGATTCATCTAAGCAAATAAGATTTATATCAAGTGTGGGCAATCTTTCTATTTGTGACTGAAATAAGCTAGGTAAATCTAAAATCAATCTAGCATGGCAGACAAAAATAATACATGTTTCAACTCAATAAAACTTGTAAAAGAGATGTAAAGATAAGATCTTTGTTCAAAGGATACATGGACTTTAAATTACGTTAATAGCAAGTACAGTCCATAGAAAAACTTGTAGGAGGTTAAAGCTGACATCATCCAAAAATGGACAGACAAAGTGAGAACATAACTTAAAAATCTGGTTTTATCCATCCTATTTTGGATAAAACAAGAAAAAATTTATGGCTACCTGTAGCTGGATAATCTACAATCTTTCCAATGCAGATTAGATACATAAAAAAAAATTTTACTTTTAAATCAACTAGAAATCAGTTTTTCTCTATTGCAAGAAAATGGAAGCAAACGAAAATGTTGTCAGTCATTTCACCAAAATATCACCAGATTTAGCTAAAAAAAAAGTCATATCTTTAAAGCTAAAAACTGTAGTTTTAACTTTAATGTAACAAAAAAAGTACTTTGATTTACAGAACACTGACATAAACTTATGACATATGAGGAATTAACTATAACAACAATTAAAAAAACAAAATAAAGCAATTTTATCATTACAATTGTATATTTATAAATAATTCCACAGCTACAGTTAAACTTTATTAGTTTATAATGTCATAAAATTACATAGAAGAGTGCCTTATTTTGTGTTTCTAGGATCAAAGAGTTAATCTGACTGTAATTAGCTCCATAAGGCAAGGAAATTGCATTTGAAGTAACTGCAAGCCACTAGACTTGTTCAAATGGTTGCATATCAGAGGCAGATTTGTACGCAACAAACCAAAATCATACAGTCACATATTGGAGATGGTTTACATTCCATTTAAGTCAATGGAAAAATTTTGAGGAATTATCTGCTGGTCACAAAGGAAGGTTTTACTGTGCTATTATTCATGCAGTATGGTCCACATTGTATGATAATAGGTTTAATAAATGTTGATTTTTATAGTTTAATATAAAAATTGACAGTTTAATTAATCTATTAAACACATTATAAATTTGTTTTTATAAAAGTAATAAAGTACCTGATTAGGGTCAGACCGTGGTTGAGCAAGAGAAGAAGAAGTGCGATTTATAACCGTGGCAACAATTTCGTTCTGTCCTTGAAATACTTTTCTTACACGCCAATGATGTGGACACCAAATCTGAGTTCTCCAATAAAAAATCCTAGTAGGATTTCGTACTCGGCTTAACTCTTGTTTCAAAATAGGTTCTCTCTATTTCAAAACAAAAAAACATTTTTTAGATGCCAAAAAAAGTTTGAAAGTATTTTAATATTTATTGAACAGATTGTAACCTCTCTCATAAATGCTAAATCTCTCTGCAAAAAATACACCGTTTGATTAAGATTATGTTCCCGACACAATGCTAGAGCTTCTTCGTGAGCATCCCATGCATGATCCATAATAAACTTCATCTGTAAATATTAAATTTTAAGTACATACGCTTTGTAAACTTATATTAATTTGAAAAATAAACCATACTTCTGCTGAATAAAACTTTTCTCTCATCCAGGGATCTATCAATGATAATACTGGATGAGTTTCTTCTAACGTCTTACGTAACTGTAGAAGAAAAATATATGTTTTTAAAAATTCATTAAGTCCTATCATGTGTATATACAACATACCTGAGCAAATCTCTGAGATAGTCTTCTCTGTACATTATCTACAGCTCTATGCATTAAAATTACTGACTGTGCTTGTTCAACTAACAACAGACCTATTGTAAAACATAAAATTAATATTAATATCTTTTATATTAAAACAAAATCAAAAAGACAATATTAATATTTGATTACCTATTCCTGATCCAAACACTTTAATATCAGGATGTTCAGAAATTGAGGTAAAAACTCTCTGAATATATTCATCTAAAACCACGATATTGGCTTGCTGATAAAATGAAACAAAAAAGTCACTTTTAATACGTAAGAAATTAATTTGTTGTATATTATGAAGCAAGTAAAAAATTTACCCTTTCTATATCTTCGTCTGGAATTTTTTTACCTGTAATAAAAACATTATTTTTTTTTATTTAAAAAAATAGTTTAAAATTATGTAATATATGAATTTCTAGTTAAAATACACGAATGTTTGGGACTCAAAATGTTGCCAAATATAGTCACCAAGAATTTCTGTTGTTGACTTTTTTATTTTATAAACACTCTAAACTTTAAAGCATAGTTAGCAAATACTACACTTAACAGCCATGTTGAAATGTTTCTCTGTTGTGTGTTGCACCATGTTGAATTTTTGTTGATGTTAAACCTAACAAAATAGTGTTTTTGAAAGAAACAAAAATATATCATCCGAAATTATTCTTTTATTTTGCACAAACAAAATAGATATATTAATAAATGTAAAAACAAAAAAAAATTATATTTCAGAAGTTAGTTTTAATATAAAAATCGTAATGACTAGCGACATCTAGTTTCAAAAACATGCCAATGCTAAAACAAGATCTCGAGTCCACTGATCAAGGTCTACAGGTTACAAACAGAGATATGTTGGGAATAACATGGGACAGGTTAAGCTAGGTTTATACTGTCATATGAATTACTACAAATTAATACTAACAGAGAAATGCCATTTGCAATGTACTATGTGACAAAAACTGAGTTAGAATGCGACTGACAAAAAGGTTCCATATACAAACACTAATTTTAAGGAAAAAGTTAATTGGTTGAACAAATAGAAGTTTGTTAAAAGTTGAGATACATTCAACTCCTAATGAACCAAATAAACTGGTCAAATGCACATGAACTGGCGGTTTCTATGCCAATGTAAACCTAGTTTTAATATTGTGAAAAGTATGACTGTATGAAATTGAAATACTGTAAGTACTTGATTGTGTTTCAATTTCAAAAATAATTTTTTAAAAGTACTTTATCAAATTCACTTTATTTCAGGTTCTTCCTAAACTTTGTTTGTTTAAGTAATTTTATAAGTAAATGGTAGATACACCAAAAATAATATATTTCGGGAAAGTGTATTTCTTTCAATTAATATTAGAATGAACTGAATACTCTGAGAAGGAAATGTTTGCCATTATTCATTCACAGTGATTCGATACTACCTAGTAAAAGCTAACTTCTGCTTGAAACTGTCACAATTTTCAAAATAATTTTCTTTCATGTAATTTTATTTATAAATTTATTAGTAATTCATAATGTAATAGCTATGGTATCATTCAATCAATCATACTTTTTTTGTAACAAACATTACAGTATCATGAAATTCCACACAAATTTACACTAAGATAAATTGATAGAATTAAAACAATTTAAACTCCACTTACTCTTTAATTCAGCAATTATTTTCTCCCTGAAAGGTAGGAACCATCCTCTTGATTCTTTTTCTAATATTCCAGCTATAATTGGTAAAACTTTCCTAATTACATCTAAATAAAATATAAACAGTTATTAAGCAAATTTGTTTAAATTACATTCTAGTAAAGTACAATAATAAAAGTTAACAATATTTAGTATAATTTAAAATAAATAAATGTAATTTAATTTATAGAGATTACAGAAAATTGTCTAAATACATATACATAATAATTAAGCTTATGGAATTTAAGAAAAACAGCAGTAGTCCTACAAGGATTGAAACATCTATTGGTAGAAAGGATTGAGATCTACAGACCTTTAAAAGGTCTGTAGATCACATTCTATTGTTTATAAATTTCTTAAAACAGAACAGAAATATTACAATACAGAATGCAGACATAAAAAAAATTTAGTACATCAATTAAATTTTATTAAGATTTCAATCATCAGTCTTGTCTTTAGTGAAAATAAACTGAGATTTCATTCATTTTATATTGGAATCAAGTTAAATTCTAAGTGTTATATAATGGAAAAAGATTCCTCAATTGATCATTTAAAATATTTAATAAGAAAAAGTTTTATGTGCATGTGCCATTAATAAACACAATACTTCAAAAATTTTGTACTACTATAAATTTTATACAAAAGCTAAAATATACATCATCAGTAGTGTATCTCAGAAACAACTATATGGGTTGCAGAACAAAATTTATTAATTATTATATTAATTTCTAGAGAGAGTGAGTAACTTCAATGGCTGATTAAGATAAATATATAGTTCAGGATTGTTTTGTATGGTTACTATTTTTCTCTAATTAATAAATTGTATCTTGCACACATGCTTAAAGTATATTATTTTTATCTCAGTCTAAATTACATATCATATATCGTTTTATGGAAATGATGCAATATAAAAATATCTAACCGTTTATCTGAAAATTAAGCACGATCTTATAAAGTCGGAAAAATTCAGTAAATGACAACATCCAATCAAATCATTGATCAACTAGTTTCAGTCAGATTATTATTCATACATCTAATATATATATGAAGTAGATATTGACATGATCGATTTAAACAGATTAAGATAACTTATAGAGGTAATAAGTTTCGTTTTATTTGATTTACATAATTTTTTCTGCAAAAATATACTTCTTAAAAGCAATGAAATAGGATTCAACACTAATAGCCTATTCATAACCAAGGATCATGCTTATTGGTTAACTTCTAACTCTACTTTAGATCCTTGGTTGTGAATACTTGTGCAGGCATCAAGTCTCAATTTGCTATATGCTGGTGATGTCTTTTTAGTGGTCCAGGGAGTTCTGTAATATCACCAAATATTACTAATTGTGTTTAGAAAAACAAGTCCAGAAACATAAATTTACAATTTGTTTAATTTGACATTATAGTAAAAGTTCTTAGGGTCCTAATGTATTTCATTTTACTGGGGTGGATTAAAGAGTTTCCTGAATTGCCAATAGGGGAGTATTTTGTTTGGAAGTATTTTTTCTACAATGCATTACCAAATCTTTTGTATGTATTGACTCCAAATTTCACATTGATCTGGCCAATACTTATAGTTGGGTTTTTACAAGCTAATCTGTTATCAGAATTATACTTGAAGTGAGATAGTCTATGTGCCTGTTCATACATGGGAGAAAAACAAAATTCGGGCCATTAACAAATTTTTCTATTGGGAGGGAAAAAGCACAATGAAAATTAAACCTAGGTTGAATAGTGCTCTGGCAATTTATCACCTTCATTTTACCCAGTAAGTGTTTGGATTTTGGAATTCAAACATGGCCACACACACAAGTGATGAACCACATTCAGGACATCAAAAACTGCTACTTTGCCAGAAATTGTGGATAAAATTTATGACATGGTGCTAGATTGCAGAATCAAAGTTCAAGTTGAGGAAGCTGTGGACATCTATTTTAATAGATGTCCAAGCTTCCTCAATTTCTTGAGCAGTCGTATTTTGCTTAACAAATTGGGTTTAAAGAAGAAGTCTGCAAGATGGGTGAAGTATTTGCTCAGTCCAAAGCAAAAATGCATTCAAGCCTAAATTTCAGCCAAATTTGGAATTGTTTAAGAGAAATAAAATGGATTTAAAGTGACGATTTGTGACAATGGATGAGACCTAAAATCACAACTACACACTGGAAACAAAACTTCATTCAAAACAATAGATTGGAGACAGTAAGTTCCAAAGAAGATGAAGACTGTTCATTAAGCTGACAAGGTGATGGCACAGTTTTTTGGTATGCTAAAGAAATTTTGTTAATTAACTATCTTGAAAAAAGGAAAAACTGTCACTACTTTGCAATACTTTTGAACAAGCTCAAAGCAGTGATCAAGAAGAAAATGCTGTTTCACCATGATATTGTACCCACTCATTCAAATGCAGTCGTTCAACTGAAGTTAAGTTCTAAATCCTTCCACTTCCACCATTTGGCACCTTCAAACTTCTACCTATTCCTAGCTGGAAAGAGAATTTGGTTCGATGAAGAGGTCACTTAGGCTGTAAACGGCTATTTTGGGGACTTCAGAGAAAACTACTTCCGGGAGAGAATCAAAAAGCTGATGAAATGTAGGATCAAGACTGTTAAGATTTGAGGAAATTACGTTGAAAAATAAAGCATAACTTTCCCATACATGTAACAGAGTTTGTGAAATAAATACTTTTCAACAATACATTTATTTTTAATTCTTAAAAAGAGACTTATTACAATACATCAGTAATCATTTGTACAACTGGATATAAATTTTTCAACCTTAATAAGTTTGATTTAATCGTTGAATTAAGTTTAAACCTGATAGAGAGATATAAAACTAGCTGGAAAACATTAGTTGAAAAATATAATTTGTGCTGGATTTAAAAGATTATATCATTTATTGTGTACTTAATAATATTAAATATAAACCACCTATGAGATGCAGAGCACAAATTTTGCATTCAAAGTGGCTTGTAAAGTAAAAAAAAAAAAAAAACTAGGAACTACTGATTTATGCAATATACTTGTAATAAATTCACAATAAAAATATCAACATTTACTGCTGTTTTATTGGTTAAGTATTGGTTCTGAATCATTAAACTGCAATTTTTTATAACTTAATATACTAAAAATAAAAATAACTTTCTACCGATAACAATTGTAATAACAAGTGTTAGTCTGTATTTAGACAGCATAAAAATGTGTGAATATAAAATGCTTCATAATTTCAAAATTATGTACATGATTAATTTTTACCTTTATTAAATAACCTGAGATCAATCTCATGTTTCTTTGGTGTTTGATAGAGATAAGGTACAGGAGGAGGATGTTCATTTTCCTGCAATAAAAAAATAATATATCCTTCTTATAAAGCTTCAAACTTAATTAACTCTCTAATTTATTCCATGATTTAAAACTTTAATTTATTTATATTGATATAAACATATCATTTACACAGGTAAATTAGGGCATTTAACTTATATCCAGTGGATTTATCTTCAATAACGCAAATTGTTGTACTGTCTTTATATAAAAATTTGTTTTTGAATAAAAAAAATTTGCTTTTAAAATGTGTGATATATGCTATATTACACACAACATAACAATATTCAACATTTTTGTTTCGTAAGCACTATAAAGTGCAGTTAATAATTGTTAAATGTTTCAAATTGGCAAAAAAGTATTCAACATATTTCTTGGAATCAAGTAAATGAAATTTGTGAATAGCAATTGTGAAAGATGTCAATTAACAAATATTAAATTAAATTAAATAAAAAATCTACAAACATGAGGTAGATGATAGTAAAGGCTTATCACACCACGTGTGATAAGTCCTTACTATCATCTGCCTCATGTTTGTAGATTTTTTAATTTAATTTAATTTAATTATACCAAGGGCTAAAAGCAATTTTTGTAATAATTTTGTAACAAATATAAACTGCAGATTATACAGTTTGTCTATAGCATTTTGTTAATAAAATGAATCTCTTCAGATATATAAAAATTTTAATTTTCAAGCAAACTTACCAATCTATATTTTTCCATTGTTTGTTTTCTAATTTGATGTTTAACAAACTGACACAAATTATCTAGGTCATCTTCTAAATTTGGCTGAAAAGAACACAAATAAAAATAAATTTTGT